GAAAAACTTGTAGCACTACCAAAGAGCAGAGCTTTCTGGAGCTGGTAGCAACCTGGGCCTCCAAAGCTGTGAGCTCATTTTGAATGAGGTCCTGCTTTCAACAAGCAAGTACTTCCAAGAGCCAAACTGATTAAAAAACATGTCTAAAGCTAAAATTAAAATGTTAACAAGTCGAGCCCTCCATCCCTTCCTTGCATTAAGTTTCTGCTCAAAATGTTTCACAAAACTGAGACAGACAGCAGGTATTTTGTATGTTTTCCCGCAAGGCTATGCCCCTCCCGGCAGTATAACTGCATTTTGTAATTATATCCTCTTCTGCATCTGAACTACTTTGCCAGTTACAGGAAATTCCTCACCGACCTCAGACTTTTGAGTGACGGTTCCACTGCTTCCTCAGCAGCAGCAAAACCCACCATTCACCCAACCCCCTTTCCAAGGCATCTCTTGTTTATGAGATTAAAAATGACATTTCTCTACCTGATATTCATCAGCAGAATCACATACTTATTCATTAAAACAAAATTGCAGGCAAGTCTGGACAAGCTGTACTTTTTGTTTCTTTGCACTTACACAAAGATTTAATAGGTTGGAACAGCACATATTAAAATATACTAAGCTAGTAGGATAAGAAGCATCMGAAATTAATTAAAGGAAGCTGAGCTTTCACAATACATAAACAGGCATTATGCTTATTTCTACTGCTTTTGTTCCTTTACTGCTCAATTGGCAACATTGGGTACTTTTCCCCTTTAGGTAAGTTGTATGACATTCGATGAAACTACAACTTTCTGCATAGCAGAATCAAAAAGTAACCAATATAACATCCTACCAAATTTTTACAACAGAATAATACAGAATGGTTCAAAAGCTTGCCAATTTGATATTTGTTACTAGCTCAGATTACTTTAAACTTCTATAACASCAGCTTAACTTTATCACAATCTTTTCGCAGTCAGAAGCTGCAGTGGGTCTCACAGCCACTGGGATAAAACAGCAAGTTCTACCACAGCACCAAGTTTGGCAAATTCTCTCCAAAAATTTGAAATGTTTGMAAAACAAAACCAAACCCCATAACTTCCACATCATTTCTAAGTAGTGCACCAACATAGCAAAAGTCACTGAAGAGGTAAAAATGCCTTCTAGGCCAGCTCGTAACTGATATAGAAACTTCAGAAAAAGTCCATCTACACAAAAACATGATAAATAAATGAAATCACAGTACTACTTCAGGGCTCTAGGAAAAGAAGAAAAAGCCCAACTGCTTCCTTTATGAAGGCAAAATGGTCTGTTTATGCTGTTGCTACAAAGATCCATGTCATTCCCTAATAAAAGCATAGGTGTACTTTATACTGCATTTAGCCAGTAGTGGAAAAAAATTAACTGATGTATTTGCTAGATCCTGAATTCAGAGGAACGGTTTGTATTATAACATGGAAAATATCAAGGAAATGCTTGAAAGAGATGCACATGACCAGTAACTTTGACAGGATACAACAAACACCCCCAGACCAAGAGTATTCACAGAGAGGCATTCCCAGAACTGCATCAACTCATGGAAGTCACGTATGTGAAGGACACTTGTCACAACAGACAGAGCTACTGCTGTAAGGGAGCAGCTGACATTAATGTTGTGAGAGCAGGAAAATAAAAGTCCTCAAGAATCTGCTACTTAACCCATCAGCTCCCCATTCACTTACTTTCCTGTCTCTGTATCAAAAGAAAAACCTGCCAAAGATGCCACAAGCCAATCTGGACCCACCTAAGGAAACTCAAGCTCAGAAAACAGAACATTTAACCTTTGCCTCTTGATTTAAGAGCAGTAACCARGTTTTCTTTCAGTTCAGAAATAGGCTCTGGAGCTCCCTGGTATCTCAGTGTCTCCACTATTTCAATTCAGACTCACTAGGACACTCTCCTTCATTTCAGCATGCTTTGTAAGATACAGCTATCATCACAAGAGCACCTGAAACATTTTAGGAAGAGATGTGGTTGGTGGAAATTCCAACCCCAGCAACATCAAACCAAACTCACAAAAGCAGACCCAAGCCTGCCTGACAGCCAAATATTTTCACCTTGCAAAGACTTTCCCAAAGAGAAATAAGAGGGATCAGCTCTGTGATTGAGGGTGGGTGGCTCTGCAGCTCCGACACTCTTTAAAAGACCTCCCCCCCCCC